TTTCGGCCGTCAGAGTCTCAGCATGACCCGTAAGCTCCGGCAGTGATTCCAGCCTCCTGCCGCATACATATGTTAATCTATTATTTCATCCCCAGATCACCGCAGTCACCCTACAAGGTAAGAAACTCAGTTCATCTCAGTATTCTATACTTCACTGGTTTTGGGGATTTCATCGGAGTGGTTCTTTCCCTCCTGAATGATTATCCTGCAAACCGGGGCCTAATCGCCAAACACCATTCCATTCTCCTGTTGTATTATCATGGCAATCACTTCATTCATACGACGTGTAACGGTAAATATGTATTCCATACATCACGTCTCTCCGGGTTGAATTACCGACTTTAAATTAAGCTCCATACTAACGACAAAATGGCAACTTTTTGCCCGACTCGAAGAATCTTCGAGTGAAAAGGGCTCATATCCAATTTTTGTCTCCAAAGGGAAGCATTTAAAGCGATCACAGAGTGGAGGCACCGAGGCACACTGTGACGGAGTAACCCCATTTGTTGGAGAAACATGAATGAAAGAAGCAACGTGGCTCTGTAAGATGTTTGTTTTCCCTTTGGAGTGGATCCTGCTCTTTCAGCACACTTGAACATTACTCTTGAGTAAAGTGCATGCTTCAGCTAAGTTTAGATTTACTGGACTTTGTGCATGAGAGGACAAATGCAGTTTGTAACACAAGGGAGTATGTTCTGGTGGAGGCTTAACAGTAACAATGGGGCACAAATTAAGTTATTTTAGCACCACCAAAGGAATATGACTCCATGTCCAATTATTGGAACATTCTCCGAAATGTTTTGAACTTGAACTATTTACATTTTATAATAGTGACTGTGAAGAGATGTTAAATCAAAGCACACATTTGAATAATTATTTAATGCATTGTGGCAGACTAATAATCGTGTTTGTTGTCATTTTGATATTCACTCTTTTTAAATGTATATATCCAATGCATTTACAATCTCTAAAAAAAGATTGACCCATATATACAATTACATAAAAGAAACTTCCTAACTAAATTACACAAAACACAATTTTTTAAGTTCCCATTCATCAGATATATGCAACTACAAAGGCATCTCCTGCTGATTTACATATAATTAAACACAGTTGACTGAATACAAACTATTTGCCTCAAAGGTATTCTGGAGAAATGCAATCAAAAGTGAACTAATTTGTCAAGATGTAAAATGTTATGATTAAACATGTATTATTTTTGCCTTCAGGGGTTCAGATTTCCCTTTTAATAAGAGTTCACAGTAAAAGGTTGTAATGACTGCACAAAGAAAGTGTACAGGAATATCTCCAGAGGACAGGACAAGCATGCAATGCAAACTTGAATGTAACATTTATTTGCGATAGCACTATCAGTGTCTGAATCGATTGTCCATCCTACGCGGGCATTTTAAGGTGTTTATTTTTGAATAAAATAAAACTTGGGTTATCGTATAAAACTGCAACTGACTATTTGTTTTGAGCTGTGGTGGCTAGCTTAACGATACATAGGATGTGTTTGTTTTTTATTAGGCAAAAATGTTGTTTCAGAGCAGGTAGGCAGGTCCCTCCTCCTATGAGACTGACTGGGTTTTACCAGAGAAAACAGGTAACGCTTTGATAAGCATAATTAGCTACAAAGGCTTTGAAAGACGAGGCAATGATATATCCTTCATGAATGATTGAACTTGTTAAAAACTAATGAAAATTGGAAAAGCAATCAATCATGGCAGTTTCTTTTACCATGTTTATACCGATCAATTTAGCGGTTCTGTCAAAACAGTCCAAGTCAATGGAATTGACTTTCGTGACAGAGCATGCTTTCCAAGCTGTTTAGTTATTGAATGTATTGACCACAACAATGTGTGTAAATGTGATAATTCGGTCAGCCCGTCGCACCTTATTCACACATGCTCAAAGGAGGAAACAGGCAAGGAAAGCAATTTGTACAAAGCCGCTGTGGTATAACTTATGTCTCTTGTTTGTCAGGGTGTACCAAGAAGTCAGTCAAGTCGCTTCAGCTGATTCAAAATGCTGCAGCTCGTGTACTAACCAGAGTTAGGAAAAGGGACCACATTACTCCTGTTCTGGCTGCCTTACACTGGCTCCCTATAGAACACAGGATAGAATTTAAAATTCTTCTTCTCGCCTATAAAGCCCTTAATGGGCAGGCGCCACCTTACCTTAAAGAACTCATTATACCCTATTGTCCTACTAGGGCATTGCGTTCCAAGAATGCAGGGTTGTTGGTTGTTCCTAGAGTCTCTAAAAGTACAATGGGAGCCAGAGCCTTTTCTTATCAAGCTCCACTTTTTTGGAATCAGCTTCCAGTTTGTGTTCGGACGGCAAACACCCTATCCGTTTTTAAGAGTGCGCTTAAGACCTTCCTTTTTGATAAAGCTTATAGTTAGGGCTGATTAGATTCAGCCCCTAGTTTTGCTGATATAGGCTTAGTTTGTCGGGGGACATCTTACTTCTTCCTTCTCTCTGTCTATACCTGTGTACTCTCATGTTCCGATTAACCCAGCTTCCCCAAATTTCTTTCTTTTTGGTGTCTATATACGCCGGGATCCGGAGTCATGGGTGATCCTGCGGTCCTGTGTCATGGATCGCGAGTCCTTGATCTTGAGTCGTGGCTGTGGTCCTGGATCATGAGTCCTGGATGGATATCCTCGTGGATTCATCTTCCTATTATACACACATGCATTTCCAAACATTTGGACTACCTATGTTGCAAATGTATTATCTTTTCAATTTACACACGGCATCTATTGCACATCTGTCCATCCTGGGAGAGGGATCCCTCCTCTGTTGCTCTCCCTGAGGTTTCTCCCATTTTTCCCTTTAAACTGTGGGGTTTTCTCCGGAAGTTTTTCCTTGTACGATGTACAAACTGTGAAGTCCACTGAGACAAATGTAACATTTGTGATATTGGGCTATATAAATAAACATTGATTGATTGATCGATTGATTGTTTGTATGAATGTTTAAATATGTTGATTTCTTTGGCACAATTCACCCTTAAAATGTTGGAGAATATTCAACTACAGGCCAAGTTCTTCGTCGTTTACACTTGAATCTTTTTGGGTAAACCATATGTCAAAAATACACACACATAAACATGAACACAAATGAATAGGCGTTCATGTAGAAAGAGAGGCATTATAGACTGTTAACTAGTCTCTCACTCTTACTCTCTTTCATGTGCTGATGAAACAAACCCCTAATGAGCAACATGTGTGACATCTCAACTCAAAGCTATTTATCCCTTTTAACCTTTCAGCGAAATTAACTGGGTTGCACTGCTTTGAAATGTAAGACGTCACTGCTAAAATCTATTCATTAAATACCGATATTCTATATTACAGCTTCAGATCTTAAACTATAAAACTACCTTTTTTCCACATTCTATTTTGTCCAAAGTTTGTCAGATTGAAAATCGCCAGCACCAAAAATGTCACCAAAAAGACATTTCCTTGACAGGAAAATACAAATATTTTTGAAAAGATTGTCCTGCTCAGTTGTAGGAATGCTTGAATGACCAAATGCCCCACAATAATTTCATTCACCGCTCTGCAGCAGCCAGCCACTTAACGAGGGCACTCGAGTGAGCCCACAGAGCACTTACAGATCAGTTACAGTGAATCCTAACAGCACCATGCACCACTACTGCTGAAAACTTCACATTCTGCACATGGTTGGATTCAAATAAACATTACTTATTCCAAAAGTGTGAATCCTTAGAAAGAACAAGCTACTGAAGTCTGTATTTTGACGTGAAAGGTGTGGCACATAGTGACAAACCCACAGAGAATCATCCAATACTTGGCAGTTCCAAGTTGGTGTTTTTGGTTGCAACAGGCAGCTGTTTTCAGCTAAAAAGATTGAATACATATGTCTGTCTAGAGCCATTAGCAGCTACACAGCCAGATATTGTCATCAGGGGTTGCCAAAGACAAAAAAGAAAATGGCTTAAAGGTTCGTCAGGTGGACTGACGCATGACTAAACTTCAATGCAGATGGTGCTACAATCTGTATATGCTGGACCCAAGGCAGTTCAGATCAGTGGTCTTTTCCACCTCGACTCTAGTGTTGAACACGGAGTCCCCCAGGGCTGTGTGCTCAGCCCCCTCCTGTTCACGCTGTACACCAACAACAACCCCTGGACATGAAGAGAACTCTGTTTTGAAGGTTGCGGTTGTCACTACCATGTTCAGCCACATTACAAAAATAGATGAGATTATACATACACAGGAAATTAACAATCTTGCAGAGTGGTGGTCAGAAAACAACCTATTGGTATCATTAGCAAAACCAATGAGTTTATTACTGTTTTTTCTACATTAATGGAACTGAGAAAGAGCAAGTAAAGCTCCCGGGAATGGGCATTAGAAATGACCTGTCATGCTTATCTCTCATCTCCATCCTGGTGAAAATAGCTCAAAAACATTTATTTACAAACTGCAGCACTTACTTAACCCCAGCTTAGTACTGCTTTGTAATGTGAGATGGAAGCTGAACATAAAAACAGACATGTCAATGAGAAGACAAAACAGAGAAGGTTTTCCTTCCTAAAATCACAGTGAAAAACTTGAGTTTTTATCCAAGTTTCTTTTGCTCAGGATGACCACAATAAATACAATTCATGAGGCAAAGTTCTATTAAAATACACAAAGCGCTTGAAAACCTCCCTCTTTTGGCATTACTGAACAGAGCAAAAAAATGATTAAATGCAGTGAGTTGACACTTAAATCCAGCCAGATAAAAGGCAGCATTAAACTTGGCAAAAGAAATGTGAGAGCTAAGTGGAAAATCACAATGGTGGTAATATGAGCTGCAGGAAAGCGAGTGTGATGCTTGGAAGAGTATGGTGCTCCGAAGGTATCCGTGATGGGGGAATGCACATATATACGAATTTCCATGTGTTCATGTGTTTAGTTATTTATCTTTGTCCTCAAATAAAATTGGAAATGTTCCTAGATGTGTGTGTTCATGTGGCATACCTCATCAAAATGTTGAAAGGAAGCCTCCCTCCTGTGAAGCTGGAGCTGCTTGTCAATGTTGTCCTTCAGGCACTGACACACACGGCGCTTCTGGTCTGCTGAATATACTTCCAGGCTGAGCAGGCAGTCACACTTCTGAGAGAGAGAGAGAGAGAGAGAGAGAGAGGAAGAGGCAGAGGAGGAAGAGGGGTGGAGGAAGAGACGTCAGGCAATTAGGCATGTACTGTCAGAGAAGCAGAGAAGAAGTAGCCTAACCCTTCAAAAAAGTAAAGCATGAGCGCACAAAGTACAGGACGATTACACTAGCAAGTATGAATGAAAAATAATGAATGAGCCCTCAAGGTAAAGCAACGTGCCCGCCCGCCCGTGTGTGTGTGTGTGTGTGCGTGCGTGCGTGCGTGCGTGCGTGCGTGCGTGCGTGCGTGCGTGCGTGCGCAAGTGAGCTTAGTAAGTGCTAGACAATAGAAAAGTGAGTAACAGATGTAAGTACAGTTTCAGAGGTGATGCAATGTGTGTGTATGTGCCAGCTTTTTAAGTTAGTGTCATTATATGCACGTTTCATCTCAGACTTGTATTTTTGCACATTCAGATGTCATCTGAACTTAGTTTACATGTCACCTTGAACTGTAAAGCTGCACAGGCGTCTGGGTAACAAAAATGCCAGCATTAGTGAAATTAGATAATGGCTAGTATCCACTTCAGGCAGAATTTGATATGCTGACGAAATGATTATGTGTCCAATGGCACGATGGCACTCCTAAAAGAGTACAAATCAATACACCCGTGCTGGGAAATACAAGATAATAAATATTTAACAAGCAGCAGTGTAGTTTGAGTTGGCACATCTTTTCACTTAAAAAGGACATAAATACCCCTCGGCTGACTGTCCACGACATTCAGAATCTGTGTCTGAGCTCACTGATGTCCAGATTAAATCTCTACTCACTTAATGGCCCCATTTGCTTTTTGGTCATGATCCCAGCACACACTTTCGATAAATGACAGATCGTATTCATCTTTTATATAATTTACAAAACTCATCCATCCTAATTTGGATTCTGAGAGGACCTCTTAAAAAGTGTAAAAGGTCCAGTGTGTAGGATGTATGGGCATCAAGCGGTGAAATTGCAGATTGCAACCAAATAAATATCTGTCGCTCATTCCTCACTTTCCAAACATGTAGAACATATTGTGGCTTTCAGGTAACATAAAACATACTAAATGACTCTGTAGAAGAGGACCTGCTTTGTATAGTGACAGGAAGGGCATTGATTCTTAGTTTCAGGTGATCATACACTAAACAAAACATGGTATTGCATTTTTGCAAACAAATCCCCTTAAACCCTGCACAACCAAGTTAATGGGAGTACAATGTCTAGGATATGAACATTGGTTTGAGCGGCTTCGCAACTTAAGGTTATTGAATGGAACCAATGCAAGGATGACATGTTGTTAAAAAGTTCTTATTAGTCTTTCATTCAGTTCAAAAAGGAACATTTACATCCCTTTCTATTGGCTGCACTGTTTGGATCTCTTGCCGCAAATGTTCTTAATGGGCACATGTTTAGTTAGCCTCACGTTCATTAGACTATTTCATACTCTTTTACAATGGCCACATAGCACTATTTGGGCTTTGGTGAGAATTCTGAATGTAGTAAATGCCTCCATGTTCTATTTCCCCACACACAGACTCATAAATCAGTGCACACAGGTACAGCACGTTTTATAAATAACAATCCCTGGCTATATGCCAGGATCAAATTCAGTAATTAGATTTTCTATTGAAACACAAAACTTATGGCTCTCAGGGTACCAACCTGTCATTCATGCACTCATACACCAATACACACTCACATCAGCTCCTCTTACACCTCAGCTGGCATATTGACTTGAATAGTTTTCATTATTCTTACTTTTCTGATTGAAGTACAAAATGAAAGTAACCTTTTGTGTTCGAGTACAGGTTTTTCTCCAATTCATTTCTTTTCCAATTTGATCATTTCCATTTACCTCGGTTGCTCTGCTTCCGGCGGTGTCGGTAAAAATAATTTGGATCCTGACATTTTTAGGCACGAGTCAGACTATAAATAGGATTTTTCCATTTTGTTCAAGTCTTCAGAGATGGACTGGAGTCCTCAGGGCTTAACTTGACGCTCACTGCCCTGGTCAGTTGTGAATCATGATGCTACTTTATATGCCTGTGTCCTGGCTGCATGGGCATGCCATGCCGTGTTGCATTCTCTCAACTACCTGTCTCTTTCAATGACACTCAAGGTTCTGCTAAAGATGGAGATGCTGTTGAAAGGGTCAATTGGCAGAGTGTGGTGGTTCAAGCCTTGTTGCTGATGCTAATGTAAGGGTAAATGCATTGAAACCCAGTACTGTGCAGCATACAATCAACTGCATGCAAGGCATACTGTAGATGCTTGTTGATAGTAAATGTTGTATATTAAGACGAAGGAGAACAGAATACTGTGAGGCCAACTTGTGCAGAAAGAAACAAAAGAGGAATTCTCCTCAACAGAAAAAGTAAATAACATCATCTTCAAGTCAAAGGGGAGGGATAAAGAAACACAAACAAGATAGAGAGGTTGGTAAGCCAAAAGCCATTATGATATTGAGCCCAACAGTTTTCAATTGCACGACAAGATGATGAAGTGGGGGCTTTTTCAGAATGGACTCCAATCATTGTTGATGTCTTTTGATATACATCATTTGGAATGATATAAGGGTCACAGAGGCCATAATAATTGGAACACATGGACACACACGCAGACGTCAATGTAAAGAACTGGCCCCGGCAAACCCTTATGATATTGCTGTCAATTAAATCTCATAAATCTATGAGGTTGTGTTTGTAGGGGTCAGGAAAGGACAGGAAAACCTCTTCGGACACGTGTGGGTAGGGCCATCGTATAGCTCAGTTGGTAGACGGCCCATGTACTGGGGGAGGACCTGGGTTCAAATCAGGCGCTGGACCATGTGTACTTGAATTAAGGCACCCAAAGAAATCTTAAAAAAAATAAAGACATTTGTGGGTAAATTGAACAGTGCAAGACCATTAGTTTTCTATTATACTTAGCTATAGGCATTTGTCCTAGTTAATTGTCATCCTCTCATTACATGGTTGACTAGAGATTGTATACCAACACTACTTATGCAGGTATCAAATACAGTGAATTTCTGAAAATGTACACGTGGCCACAACTCAAACGATTAACCTTCAATCATGTAATGCTAATGACACTTGGTAACACCACAAATATAACACACATGCTCCCCAATTCACAACAGAAGTGATATGATACGTGATATACTCAGTTCTGATTAAGATACCATTTCTCTGTTTCTCTTCCTTCCATAACAATAAAGCAATAATAATAATTACTTGGGTTGAGTAATGCTGGGAAAATAATGCAAACGTTCAGGCTTTCCAGGGAACATTGTCTCATATGGACAGGATTTTTCCAGGCACCTCCACACTGTCCCACATTAGAGAAAACACATCTGTGATAGAGCAGTTCATGTTCCCAGAGGCATGCATGCACCTGAATCCCCAGACACTTTCACACACAAAAACCCTTATGAGTACAACTTTTGACAGTACATTATTACTTTAGCTTTTGTAACATTAAATTAATAAAATAATTAATCAGAAAGGACACCAGCTGGGACTCTACTCTGAGTCATAGCAAAGCAAAGGTCTCAGAGCTGCTTCAGGGCTTACTTAATCTGACAAAGAGAGGAAATGTGTATGTTTACACAGCCTTGGTGGGTAAATATGAGGGTCGTGAAGCATACTATACTGTAAACCAATTACTGACATCATGCACATTTAGTCTTAGGTAAAGAGAAAATGAGGGAGGGGGATAACGGATGATGAGAGATGTAGAACACCATCAACAATAGTCACTTTTGATGCACGTAATACAGCATACGTAGTGGTGCATTTTTTAGCATCATATCTTAAACTGAATTATGCTCTGCTAGGAGGCTACCAATGATGATTTATCTGTCTCTAGCTATCAATTACAGCAATATATTTCCTTCTCTCTTTCATGTTTACCATTATTACACATTGCTGTGCTTTGCTGCCTAACTGAGCATTATTGCATCTATCTGGGATGGTTGTCCTGAGAGTGACATGCACATCATCGCATTACATCACCTAAAATAATCAGTCATGCAAGCAAATGAGTAAACTGTTGACAGCTGGTCACAGAGCACATGTTTTAGGAGCCAGCTGGAGCTTTCGATAGTTTGGCCATTTGCAAGGACAGCTCTCTTAGTTTAAGCTAGATCTAAGTGCTGTCTTACTTTAGTCTATCATTCAAAATGTTTGTTTTTCTTTAAGTTAAAATAAACACTTGTGAATCACTGTTTTGTTTAAAAAATAACATCATATATATCCACTGGGATCAAATTGTTTTCCATATTTTGATAATATGGAGTTATATTTAATAATTGAATTATATGGATAATATTTTTGACTGTTTTTAGCTTGGAAGGAATTTGTCGGAATTTCCCTCTCTCTGAGGAATCATGTCTTTAGGGATTTTCATTTTAAGATCATGTTTTTTCTTGGAATTTAACAACATCCAGCTAGAAACAACAAATAACCCTTTTAAGATAAATTGTAATTTGTTTCGGCAGCAGAGTCAGGTCATAAATGAAGTCTTTATTATTGGAATAACAGAGTGACTATTCAGTTATTCATAAGAATATTTACTAAAGAACCTTATTAGCTAAAATAGCTAATGGATTCCTTATTTTAGCTCTTACTTTGGTTCACCCCTGTTTATAAACCCACCCGTCCACGAGATAAACATGAGAGCTAATGAAACAAAATTCAATGAATGGCTACTGGCCTGCCATGGAGTGGCTAAAAATACAGGCAGCATTTCCCCTTAATCAGATTGATTAAAGTGCTCCCTGGTTGAAGCCCTCCCCCCGAGCCATCTGGCAGGAGAGCTTTCACTGTATCATTGGGGCGCTGTAAAGACAGCTCACCTAAGCTGCCTGAACAAAGGTTAGCATGGTTTCAGTGACAGTTAATGCACGTAATACTGCTGAATGGGCATTCAGGCATCATATTTTTTTAAATAACCCATATACAGTTGAAATAACTATACATC